TCCCCGCCTCCCTAACCTGTTCTTCCTCCCACCTATCCCCTCCTCCCACCTCAAGCCGCACCCCCATCTCCTACCGACTAACCTCATCCCGCACCCTTGACCTGTCCGTCCTCCCTGGACTGACCTATCCCCTCCCTAACTCCCCACCTACACTCACCTTTCCTGGCTCCATCCCCGCCTCTTCGACCTGTTTGTTTCCTCTCCACCTATCCTCTCCTCTATCCATCTTCTATCCGCCTCCCACTCTCTCCCTATTTATTTCAGAACCCCCTTCCCCTCCCCCTTTTCTGATGAAGGGTCTAGGCCCGAAACGTCAGCCTTTCTGCTCCTCTGATGCTGCTTGGCGTGCTGTGTTCATCCAGCCCTGCACCTTGTTGTCTCAGATTCTCCAGCATCTGCAGTTCCTGCTATCTCTGATTCAAAAATAACAGTCAGCAGTTTCCGTTTTAGCTGTTGCGTTGTGGGGTTTTTTTGCATTAGTTATGGTGTACAGAGTATTACAGCATGTAAGTTGAACATTTAACTTAAAATCATGTTTTTGGATATGCTCAGTCAACCACCTTTTTAGCCACAGTATGCTGTACTCACGTTAATAGTCAGCCTGAATTTTTCCGCCCACAAATGGAAGGTTTTCTTACTGGTACCTTATAACTAGGCACAAGGGAACCCAGCAGGTTAAACGTGTTAGAAGATGTGCAGCAATTTAGGTACACACACAGAATAGAGCCCAAATCCCAAATGACAAAAATGCCCTGCCATTTTACAAATATGCTAAGGTTTTGGAGGGAGTCTTTGAGGCTTCAAAGATCAACCTTTTTACCTATATCGCTTCAATAGTTCATCATGTTGTTTGTTTAATATATGTAAGTAAGATAATTAACAGAGGAGGAAGAGGTGTTGAAGAAAAAAAAAGTTTCCTCATTTCTTTTTCTCTCTGGTTAAGGCTCTTCAGAACAGAGACTAAACCTTGACTGCTGGAAGGTTGCTTTGAAAACCTTAAATTGTACCTCTGAAGATGAACATGAACCCCCAATTGTAAAATGTGCAGAAACACGCCAATGTTCTCAAAAGATCAGGCTATCATATGAACAGGTAATGCAAAGTCTATCAATTGTATTCCAACATGAGAAAAATAATTGAATATCCCACCTCAAGAAAATCCAAAAAGATATTTGAGATTGTTACTGGAGTTGCTCACATTGTTTTGCATTCCAAGTACTTCTTTAAGATTCTTTTTCATTCTTGCATTTAAATCAGTTTTAATATTGTCTGACTTCTCTCCAATCCACGCGCGCGCACACGCGCACACACACGTATTGTGTGAAATAGTGTTTCATGATGTCTGTCCCAATTTTAGGTTTTGAATTATTACTTCATAATTAATCTCCCTCAGTCTTCAACTACAGTAAATTGAAACAAAGACACACAACTCTGTACTCGTGTTTCAAAAGTTTGTATATTCCCAGTTTTACAAACTACCTTGTAAGTATGTAGGTGCTGAGGTGAGAGGGTGTAATTACAGCGTGACACGTTTACATCAGTAATGTCTATTAGTTTCATTAGATTTTGCATCTGAAATTAAATAATTTATTTCCTGTTTCTTTAAAAGTTAAAACAAAACTTTTGTTAATACTGCATGTGGGAGTACTTAATGTTTGAAATTTAGTACATCTGATTCGTCATTGATCAAACGTGAAGTACGTTGTGTTTTTAAAAATCATCGAGAAGAATGTAACACAGAAACTAGGAACAGGAACAGGAATAGGCCATTCAGCCCTTCAAGCCCATTCTGCCATTAAATATGATCATACTATCTTCTATCTCAATGCCGTATTCCTCCTTTTTCCATATCCCTCAATGTCTTTACTATCGAAAAATTTATTAATCTCTTTCTTGAATGTACTCAACAACCAAGCTTTCTGTGGTGGCAAATTCTGCAGGTTAAGCAAATGAAAAATGTTCCCTCATCTTATTCCTAAAATGCCTACCCATTTTCCCGAAAGTTAGGTTGAGAAAAAGTGATTCAAAATTCAAATCACTCTTAATGCCTTACTTTACTCAGAGGAATCGAAGAATTTCTTGTCTTAAAAAAACCTATTTCAAGATTATGTTTTGGTCATTCTTTTCAGTCTAACTATTTTGAGAGAGATTCTGTAAGAAAAGCACATATTATGAACAGAAAGTAGTTTAAACTCTGTTTCACCATACAGGTACTGGAAACCATACAGTGGCTTTCTGATTTCTTCTTCAAACTGCGCCTTTCAAAAGCAGATTTAAGGAGCTTTGGTCTGTTTTCAAAGTGGACTCCATACATGAATGAAGTGAAGAAATTATTGATGTTTCTTGTTAGGTTTCTTATTGATTCTGAGACTGCCAAACTTGCCCAAGAACCTCCATGCAGCATCAAAAATGTGACAGGTATTAACTGAAGAATAGGATTGATGAATTAGCATTTGATACATCATTAATTAAAAACTGCATTGTACTTCCACTTACTGAATACAGTGTTAAAGTGTCAATATTAAAAACTGATAATATGAAATATGAGTTGTCAAGTTGGGTAGAGTAATTGTGAATTGAGAGGCAGGATGTCAGAGTTTGGTGTTTGTAAAATATTGATGTTTTAAAAGTGCTAGGGGAAACCAGTCCATGGTCCCTTTAAAAGATGATATGCTTTGTCTATGCTTAGAGATTCAATAAGGATGTCTGTGGGTTTGCAGATGTACAGAGCACTTGAATTGAAACATTTCTATCAAAAGGCTGTACTGTTAGCCGGCAAAGCAGCATTTTTATCAAGAAAACAGGTTGGAATTTATCCAATTGATTTAAACCAGGCCCATAGATACCAAAAAAAATTAAATTTAAATCTGATGGTTTTGACAATGTAGGACCAGTCCTATTGTAAGAAATTGATATGTCATCAAGGATATAAAAGATGAGGGCATTTGGAAAATTGGGGAGAGCCAACTGTCATCTGCCAAGAGAACAGCTCTCTAAGAGACAGAATTGCTGGCTCTGTCAGAATTCTCTAAGTCTTAAGGTAAGCTTCATCTAAATTAAAGGTACCTTGAGCAAAAAGTTAATGTTCCTGACAAAAGAATTCGACAGAGAGGACTCACCGAGAATTTGTTCCTGACAGAAGAATTTGTCAGAGAAAACACAGCGCATTCTGGAACCCGGCTGTAATTTCAAGAAACTAAATTCTCATTTTTTCTTATTGTAGCTTATATAAGTGGGGTTTGTATTTATTGGAATAGCATAGGGTCTAGGCCCGAAACGTCAGCCTTCCTGCTCCTCTGATGCCTGCTGTGTTCATCCAGCTCTACACCTTGTTATCTCAGCATACCATTAGAATCTTGTTTTAGTTGGGAATAGTTAGTAGTTAGAAGGGGTTTATTTAGTTTGCTAATAGTTTAGTTAGTTTGTTCACTGTTAGATAGATAAATTGTTACTTGTTGACTGTAAAGAGATTGTCAGGGGTTCATTTTTATTTAACCATTCCTTTATAACTGATTGGGGGATCTTTTAACAGATTATAAGGTGAGGCGCACCTCTCAGGATGTTTTGGTTTTAGTTATCGGCTGGTGGGGGGGCTAACTCCGCTTTATAACATATGCATATTACTTTGGACAGATGATGTTGCTTAATGTTGTAATCATTTTTGAATTAACCTATTGACCAGTCAGTAAGTGAAAAACTTGATCCCATTTTCTAGCAGGAATTTTAACAAAGGCATGTTGCACTGAAAGTGAGATTTAAAACAAATATCTTTGAAAGTAAACAAATTTCTTTCAGTGAATTAAGTCCAGTTCTATCTGTTGAAAATGACCACAACGTCAGTTGATACATCGACACTCTACTTTGTAAGCCGCCAAATCCAATTCATTTTCATACCAAGCATAATGCATTTTTTAGGCATGCCAAAATCAATGTTTTAAGGTTTTTTTTTTCGTTCATGAGACAATATGATGTGTTTCATACCATTTGATTCAGTATGTGGCTCTCTTGCTTCGAAATAAAAAAAAGTTGGGAGCCCAAATTCCACTTTAAACATTAAACTCATAAATAATGGATTATAGCAGCTACCATTTTTTTTGGATCAAGTGTTAAAACTAGGTGCCATCTGTTAGCTTAATTGATGTAGGTGCATATTAAGGCTCCCTACAGCTCTATTTGAAAAAAGTTTGCATAGTGCGTTGACTAATATTTCTTTCTCCATCAATGCCACCAAAATTGATTGATTGAGTAATTATTTCTTGTATAGTTGTTGGTAAGTTGCTGCTTTACATGGGACGTAAAAGTGACTATACTTCGTAAGGAATTCATTGGATGGGCATATTTTGGCGAAGGCCTGATGAGGTGATTAAAAATGATGTTAAATCTGGCATGTAACCGGCCTCAATAGGGCAACACCATTGAGTTGGCTGGTATCAACCATTGAGTCCCTGAATAAGTATTTTGAAACAGAAAGATATCCATATGTTTAGTGCTTTTGATGACTTCTGAATGTCTCCACACACTTTACAGCCAAAAAAGAACTTTTCATATACAGTTGGTGTTGTAATCAGGGAAACGTGGCAGGCAATTTTTGCACAGTATTATGATGATGATGACCAGATTTCTTCTTAGTGGTGCTGATTGAGGAATAAATATTGGCCAGGTGACTTGGAATAGCTCGTTCACTTCTAAATTGTGCCACAGGATCTTTTCTGCCCATCTGAGAAGGCCAACAGGACTTCAGTTTTAAATTTAACCTGGAAAATGCGCCTCTGATAGCTCAACCTCTGTTGCCATGGCGTGTCAAACTCAAGCCTCTGGAGGAGGTGTTAAACCCATATCCTTTTTACTCGGGGAAGAATGCTACCAGTTGAGTCACAGCAGAAGGGAGAATATTTGATGCAGCAGGATTTAAAGAAAACGATTTACATAATATTAAAATTTGGTATTAGTAACAATTTCATAGCAATGTGTTACATTTTTTTGTTTCCCCAAGTTAATTTAATTGATAATAGGGGAGATAAATTATCAAGCAGCTTGCTCTGTTAAGAAAAGAAACTCAGCTGTGATGATTGAATACTCTTCGAATAATGGGAATAATTATTTGTCACTTTGGTTAACTGTTGTATTAACGTACTATATCTGATTTATCATAAGCATAATACAAAATGTAGATAATTGCATTGGTTGTAAATTGAGTGGCAATTGAGTTATTTTATTCATGTTTCAAGTAATAGTCAAAGCTGTCCATTATTTCAGCTGTTTAATCTAGTTTCATTAATCCAACATTAATAATTTGGGCTCATTTCATTGTAGGTGTGAAAATGGTGTATACAAAGCTGGTGGGACTTTTCAGGCCGTGGCTACTGGTGCTAAATACAAAGGAAGCAAGGTAAATATTTTTGTAAAAACAAAGTACCGTGGCTGCTGGAGATCTGAAATACAAAGTGCTGCGAAGGCCTTGACTGTGATTAACCACCCAGCCGCAGGGTTTTGTTTGCATACGTTTGTTCTCAGAGCTGACCTTCTCTTCATCTATCATTTCTCCACTACCATTAGCACTCTCTTTTCCTTTCCCATCTGTTCCACTTGACAGTGTCACTGTCTCTACAACATTTTTCCTACATATGTATTGCTTAGCTTCTCCTCAACTTTACAATACACCTCAAAATTGTCTTCAGGAATAGTGCCAGAAGACTGGAGACTAGCAAATGTCCCCTTGTTCAAGAAGGGGAGTAGAGACAACCCTGGTAATTATAGACCAGTGAGCCTTACTTCGGTTGTGGGTAAAGTGTTGGAAAGGATTATAAGGGATAGGATTTATAATCATCTAGAAAGGAATAATTTGATTAGGGATAGTCAACACGGTTTTGTGAAGGGTAGGTCGTGCCTCACAAACCTTATTGAGTTCTTCAAGAAGGTGACCAAACAGGTGGATGAGGGTAAAGCGGTTGATGTGGTGTATTTGGATTTCAGTAAAGCGTTTGATATGGTTCCCCATGGTAGGCTATTGCAGAAAATACGGAGGCATGGGATTGAGGGTGATTTAGCGGTTTGGATCAGAAATTGGCTAGCTGTAAGAAGACAGAGGGTGGTGGTTGATGGGAAATGTTCATCCTGGAGTTCAGTTACTAGTGGTGTACCTCAAGGATCTGTTTTGGGGCCACTGCTGTTTGTCATTGTTATAAATGACCTGGATGAGGGCATAGAAGGATGGGTTAGTTAATTTGCGGATGACACCAAAGTCGGTGGAGTTGTGGATAGTGCGGAAGGATGTTGCAGGTTACAGAGGGACATAGATAAGCTGCAGAGCTGGGCTGAGAGGTGGCAAATGGAGTTTAATGTGGAAAAGTGTGAGGTGATTCACTTTGGAAGGAGTAACAGGAATACAGAGTACTGGGCTAATGGTAAGATTCTTGGTAGTGTGGATGAGCAGAGAGATCTCGGTGTCCATGTGCATTGATCACTGAAAGTTGCCACCCAGGTTGATAGGGTGGTTAAGAAGGCGTATTGTGTGTTAGGTTTTATTGGTAGAGGGATTGAGTTTCGGAGCCATGAGGTCATGTTGCAGCTGTACAAAACTCTGGTGTGGCCGCACTTGGAGTATTGCGTACAGTTCTGGTCACCGCATTATAGGAAGGATGTGGAAGCATTGGAAAGGGTGCAGAGGAGATTTACCAGGATGTTGCCTGGTATGGAGGGAAGGTCTTATGAGGAAAGGCTGAGGGTTTTGAGGCTGTTTTCGTTAGAGAGAAGAAGGTTAAGAGGTGACTTGATAGAGACATACAAGATGATCAGAGGATTAGATAGGGTGGACAGTGGGAGCCTTTTTCCTCGGATGGTGATGGCTAGCACGAGGGGACATAGCTTTAAATTGAGGGGTGATAGATATAGGACAGATGTCAGAGGTAGGTTCTTTACTCAGAGAGTAGTAAGGGCGTGGAATGCCCTGCCTGCAAAAATAGTAGACTCGCCCACTTTAAGGGCATTTAAATGGTCATTGGATAAACATATGGATGATAATGGAATAGTTTAGGTTAGATGGGCTTCAGATTGGTTTCACAGGTCGGCGCAACATCGAGGGCCGAAGGGCCTGTACTGCGCTGTAATGTTCTATGTTCTATGTTCTATGTTCTATGTTCTATGTTCAGTGTTGCAGGCTTTGCTATGACATTTAATGGGTCATTTATATTTTCCCATATCCAATAGTGCAACTCCTTTGATATGCACAATGGAGCAATCTTAAAGTTCTGTACCCTTAGAACCAAATTTAAGTCACAGTTTCTATAATGGTAGTATTTTCATTTGTTACATGTGCCTCTGATTTCACCTGTTTGCTCCAGTTTCATGTTAGGTGTTGCTTGTCCATGACCTCATCTATTGATTATGTTAATATGACCTATTAACACCTGAATCTGTAATTTCTCATGTAGCAAGCAAGATTATTATTGCAACAATTTAACAGTGGGATAAAATTAGCCTGTTGCAGAACAATGTAACCTCTCTGGTCACATTTCCTATTACTGAATGATCAGTCCAGCACTTTGTAAATTCTTGTCATCTGCCTCTTCCCCGTTCACTTACATTGACAGGTGCAAGGAACTCATGCACTTACCACTTGAGACCGTTTGATCAGCTGCTTCAGCCAATTAGACCATAAGATGTAAGAGTGGAAGTAGGCTATTCAGTCCATTGTATCTGCTCCACCATTCAATGAGATCATGGCTGAACCAATAATCCTCAACTCCACTTTCCTACCTTTTCTATATTACTCTTGAATTCTGTACTCATTAAAATCTGTCTATCGGAGCCTTGAATAGACTTAATGACACAGCCTTAACAGCCCACTGCAGTAAAAAAAAAATTCCACAGATTCGCGTCTTCTCAGATTGTACCACTGGTCCTAGATTCTCCCACAGTGGGAAACAACCTCTCTGCACATGCCTTGTCAAGCCCCAGAAGACTCTTAAATGTTTTTAATAAAGTCTCCTCTCAGTCTCCCAAACTTCAGTGAGTACAAGTTACACCTACTCAGCCTCTTCTCATAGAAAAATCCCTCTATACATGGGATCAACCTAGTGAACCTTCTGCAGATTGCCTCCAATGCCAGTAAATCTTTCCTTAGAAAAGAGGACCAGAACTGTTCACAGTATTGCAGTTGTAGTATGACCAATTCCTTTGTATGGTTTTGCCAAGACCTCCCTACTTTTATTCTCCATTCCATGAAATAATGGCGTGGCCTAACACCTTCCCTATTACCCACTGAATTTGGATGCTAGCTCTCAGTTATTTATGCATTATAAATCTGTTTATACTTCAGCTTTCTGCAGCCTTTTCCCATTTAAAGGCAGTGGCATAATGGTCATAGAGTCATATGGCATACAAACAGGCACTTCGGCTCAGCATGTCTATGTCGACCAACAAACACTAAACTACACCAATCCCATTTACCTGCACTTGGTCCATAGCCTACTTTGACTTGGCCTTTCAGGTGCTTATTCAGATCATTCTTAAATGTTGCAAGAGTACTTGCCTCCACCAGCCCGTTAGGCAGCATGGCCCATATGTCTACTGCTGTCTGGGTGGGGAAAAAAAAATCTCTTCAGATCTCGTCTAAACCACTTAATCCTCACATTAAGCTATGTTCTTTGGTCTTGGGCACGTCTACCATGGGGAAGAGATTCTTGTGATCTTCTCTGTCTATGTCTCTCATAATTTTGTATCAATCAGATTTCACCTCAGCCTCCATTGCTCCAAAGAAAACAAACCCAGCCTATCCAGTCTCTGCTCATAACTGAGACTTCTATCCCAGTCAACATCCTAGTGAATCTCTTCTGCAGCGTCTCTAGTGCAATCACATCCTTCCAATACCGTGGCCTAACCAGTGTTTTATAAAGTTGTGACAAGACTTTCTTGCCCCTATAATATACACTCTGGCTAATGAAGACAAGCATCCCATCTACCTTCTTCACCACCCTGTGCTGATACCTTAATAAATCTATGGACTTGTACACCAAGGTCCCTTTGTTCCTCAGTACTGCCTAAGGATTTACCATTCATTGTGTGTATCCTTCCCTTATTACACCTTCCAAAGTGCATAGCCTCACGCATGTTGGGATTAAATTCCATCTGTCATTGCTCTGCCCAGTTTACCAGCTGGTCAGTATCAGTCTGTAGCCTGAGATCATCCTCCTCACTATCAAAAACACCACCAATTTCCGTGTCATCTGCAAGTTATACTTTCTGCGTTCATGTCCAAATCATTAATGAACGTAACAAACAGCGAAGGCCCCAGCACCGAACCCTATGGTACACCGCTGGTCACAGGCTTCCAATCACATAAATAATGCTCCACCGTCACCCTGCGTGTAAGCCGATTTTAGATCCAGTTTGCCAACTTATCTTGGATCCCATTGGGCTCTTAACTTTTAGACCAGCCTTCCGTGTGGGACCTTGTCAACCACATAAATGTCTAGGATGTCCTCCCTCATTACTGCAATAATGATTTTCTTTATCAATAATGCAATGCCCCCACCTCTCTCACTCCCGCCTTATCATGCCTAAAACTTCTATACCTTGGAATGTTGAGCTACCAGTCCTGTCCTTCCTTCAACTATGTCTCAGTGATTGTAACAATATCACAGTTCCACATGTTGATCAATAATCTAAGGTCATCGCCTCACCAGTTAAGCTTCTTGTACTAAAATAGTGCAATTTTACCTGTGTAGATCTCCCATGTGCCTTATCCTGCCCATCTCTTCTCCACCTACTAGACTGTCTTAGCATTCCTTCTGTGTCTGATTGGACCTTACTTCTGACTATACATGTATTCTGTCCTGCCATACCTCGCCAGATCAGTTTAAAATCTCCCCAGTAGCCTAAGCAAGCCTCCCAGCAAGGATATTGGACCCACTCTGGTTCAGATACAGTCTGTCTAGTTTGTACAGATTCCACAGACCACAAAAGCTGTCCCAATGATCCAAAAATCTAAAGCTCTCCGTCCCACATCATCCCTTTAGCTACACATTCATCTGACCTATCTTCCTAATCCTATACTCAGTAGCGCATGGAATTAATCTGTAGATTACAACTTTGGTAGTCTTCCTCTACAATCTACTACCTAACTCTAAATTCCTCTTCCAGACCTCATTTCTATTTTTTCTACCCGTGTCGTTGGTACCCATATGTACCATGACTGCTGGCTGTTCACCCCACCCTTTCAGAATATCCTGCAGCTGCTCTGAGACATCCCTGACCATCGCACGAGGGAGGCAACCTACTGTTTAAGAGTCTCATTTGCTGCCTGTCATATCCCTTTATAATCAAATCCCCCATCACTAAAGCTCTCCCAGTCTTTTTCCTTCCCTGTTGTGCAGTAGAGCCAATCGTGGTGCCACAAACTTGGCAGCTGCTGCTGTTTTCCCCTGAGAGGCTATTCCCCCCAACAGTATCCAAAACAGTATATCTGTTTGAGAGGGGAAAGTTCACAGGGGACTCCTGCACTGCCTGCCCACACATAACAGTCTTTCTAGTGGGCACCCCTACTTGTGGTGTGACCAACTCACTGAATATGTTATCCACGATATCCTCTGCATCACAGGTGCTCCATGGTGACTCCATCTGCAGCTCAACTGCACCATGCAATCAGTCAAGAGCTGCATCTGAACACACTTCCTGCATACATGGTCACCATGGACACTGGAAATGTCCCTCAAATATTGCAAGAGAAACATTCCACAGGACGGAGTTCTCCTGCCATTGTGAACTTTATCGATTACAGACAATAAACTAGGAGCCAATTATTCAAATCATGCTCAGAACTGTAGATGTTGGAGATCTGAAACAAAAACAGTAATTACTGGCAAAATTCAGCAGGTCTGGCAGTATCTGTGAGAAGAGAGCAGAGTTAATGTTTTGAGTCTGCTGACTCTTCATCAGAACCCTGAAGAGTCAGTGTGATGAAGTGTCACCAGACTCAAACCATTAACCAATTGCCCACTATTCACCAAAGCAAATTTCTCTCCCTGTCCCTCTCCCCCTGCTCTCTCTCTCTGTCTCTCTCTCCCACCCCCTTCTCTCTCTCTCTGTGTTTCTCTCTATCTCTTGCTTTCTGTATCCACCCCCCATTCTTAAACTACAAAGAACAAAATTAAGGACTTTATGCTCTATCTTCTTCCCGTACTACTCACTCAGTCTCTGAAGTTGGAAATGTTACTTGAATAGTGATCCAGACACTCTGATAGTATTCTGGGGACATGAGTTCAGATCCCACTGTGGCAAATAGTGAAATTTGATATCAAGTAAAATATGGAATATAAGGCCAGCCCGGTGGTAATTATGCAACCGCTGCAGATTGTCATTCATGTCCTTTCGGGCCTTCACCTATTCTATTCTTTCTTCCTATGTCCATAACTTCATATTTTCCACGTTATATTCCATCTGTCTTGTTTTTGCCCACTCAAGTAACCTGTCTCTCTGTAGTTGCCTTCTGTCATCCTCACTACGTGCCTTCCCACATATTTTTCTGTAATCCATAAACTTGGCAATCGTACATTCACTTCTATCCAGGCTATTAACATATATTGTAAATATGTGACTTCAGCGCTGATCCCAGTGGCACTTCACTAGTTACAGTTGCCATGCTAAAAGTACCTCTTTATCTGAACTCTGTCTTCGATTAGCTAGCCCATCCTCAATATGTGCTAATATTACCAACTCCCATTCACTCATCACCCACGTGCTCACGAATTGGCATTAGTAATGCCTTGATTTTAGAAATTTTCATCCTTGTTGTCAATACCATAGCCTTGTCTTCCCTAACTCTAACCTTCTATCACCACACTATCCTCCAGCACCTTTGTGTTCCTCCAATTTTGGTCTCTTTCACATTCTCAGTTTTAATTGTTGTGTCCTTGTGGTCATGCTTTCAGTTTCCCAGTCCCTAAATTCTGGAATTGGCTCCATGAATCTCTTAGCATCTACCACTCTCATTTAAGAATCTCCTTAAAACCTCACTCTTTAACCAAGCTTTTAGTCATCTGTCCTAGCATTTTCTTACAACGTTTATTTACACATTTGTTACCAACTCTTCTCTGTAGTGCTTTGAGATGTTTTGATATATTAAGTGCAAGTTGTTGTGGTTTCTTCACAGTTCAATCAGTTAAATATTTTTGAATGATTACTATCACAAGATAGTTTTTTAATAGTTAATTGCAAATTGTAGCAATGATGATATTTAATTGATCATCCAAATATTTTTAATTTATAGCAATAATCATTCATATCCTTGGCTAGAGATTGACACTCCAGTAGCATCTGGCATGGTGAAGTTATTTACTAAAAGTGTTGGTTATCTACATCAAAGATTTAAAGGTAATCTCTGATTTACTTCAGCCCGTCCTTTAATTCTGGAAAGGATTTTGAGCAATATGTATTAAATTCAGATATTGTAGATGGATGTAAGGTGAGTCACTGCTGTTTTTATTGTATCAAAATATTCAATGTTAATTCCAAGTACTTCGCAATATAACAATGATAGATCGAAAGTTTTGCTTTTATATAATTGTTAGACCCTTCCAAAGTGCTTCCACACCTGGTAAGTTGTACTTGGAGCTGCAACTTTTATGTTATTTAGATAAAACTAAGGAAATTACCATTAAAAGAATGCAAACATAAATTTTCCTTTTTATTTTAGCTTCAACATAAAATATTTAACACCATTACAGTTGTCATTTTCTTCATTACCACAATATTGTCTTTTTCACTCCTTTTCTTACAGATAGACTAATTCCTGGCCAACGAGGAGCTCTATGGTTCCACTTGATGCATTATTGTGAAACTTGCACTATACCCAAAATGCCAGAGTATATCCTGTATACCTACCACTCAGAATATTCCAATCTGCCATGGAAAGAGTTGTTCCCCGACCAAGCCTTAATGGAAGAGGTCTTTAAAGTAGGTCACTTTGTGAAAAGTTGCTCTGTTATCTCTGTCAATGCTTCCATTTTACATTTTCTACCAAATTAAGTATATTCAACTGTAGCACACCTTGCACGTACTGGAAGCTATATATATTAAGACGCAGGATCCTGTTTGCAGACAGAAAGAACATGTACACACACTGCAGCTGTTTAAACTCAACAAAATAGGTGACAGTCATTTATTAATTGGTCTCTCAGGGCAACGCCTTAATCAGAGACTGCCTGTTTTAAATGTAAACAAAGCCTGACAGTTAACATCTGTCATTGTTAACTGGTTAATTCTTCGTGGTAATGTCTCTGCCAAACTTGATAGCTAATCAGCACACTCCTAATACAGTATAAATGTTGGTTTTCCCCTTGAGTTAATATTCTTGCAAATCGTCCTGATAAGTGCAAAACAGAACATTTTGACAAGAGATGTCAACTTTCAGCAGTTCTTAAGTCCTACCAAACAACTATTTTGTGATAACAATTGATTTTGATAAGCATACGGCTTACTGCATTTATTTGAAATACAGTCAAACATACTTAAATGAATATAAACCGAAAGAACCTGCCGATGCTGTAAATCAGAAATCAAAACAGAAATTGCTGGAAAACTCAGCAGGTCTGGCAGCACTGTTCTGAGGAAGGGTCACTCGACTTGAAACATTAACTCTGATTTCTTTCCATTGATGCTGCCAGTTCTGCTCAGCCTTCATTGCCTTTTACTCACCCATCCTCATAACCCTTTATGCCACTTATAATTAGAAATCTATCAATCTCTACATGTATTCAAAAACTGAGCCTCTGTGGTAAAGAATTCCAAAGGTTCACAACTCTCTGAGTAAAAATATGTCTCCTCATCTCAGAACTAACTAACAGAGACCTGACTTAAAGAAGGACAGGATTGAGTACCTGGTGCTTTCTTGCAAGATAGGGAAGGAAAGAAAGGAGAATAGGTAGCAGTAATGATTAAGGAGAATATTACAGTGCAAAAGAAATTGTGTTCTTGAAAGATCAAGGTCATAATGGATTTGATTAGAATTTTTTTTAATCAAGGTAGAACACACTATTGGGTGTATTCGATAAGCACTAAATAAAAGGAAAGAGATAAAGCACAGAAATTGGAAGGAAATCAGCCAGGGTTGCAAAGCCAATGGAGGACTTTAATTATCCTAGTATAAGCTGGCTTATAAACACTGTAGAAGTCAAAGATGGAAAGAAGCTGAATTGTGTTCAAGTTAATTTTATTTAGATCATTATGTTTCTAGCCTGCAAGGAAGGAGACATTCCTGGTTCTAGAGCGTGATCTGAATAAAGCATCAGTGTGGAAACATTTAATGAACGGCCGTCTTAGTGTTATAAGATTTAGATTAGCTATGGAAAAATCTGAGCAAACAGAAAAATAATTGGAGGGCCAACTCAATGCAGGGAGAATAGATCTGGTACAGTTAATTAGAATCAAAGATTAGCAGGCAATACATTAATTGAACAATGAGCTGCCATTAAGATAATTTGAGCACACTCAAGTGGGTTCTCACATGGGGGCAAGTTAGAATAAACAAAGCCAGAATCCCTAGATGACAAAGGGAGTAAGATGAAGACAAAATGGGTGTATATGGTAGATGCCAGATTGATAATTCAAGTGAAAACCAGGCTCAATGTAGTAAGAGAGGAGATAGCTGAAACATCAGATGGAGTAATTATTGATAATAAGTGCACTTGAAAAACTGAAGTTGACAAGACACCAGAACCAGATCAAATGCACCCAATATTGTGGAGAAAATTAAGGGTGGTGGAGACAGATTTAATCATGGCTTTACTGGAACTTGGTAATGATCTGTTTAGAAAATAAATCCAGGATTATGTGGAAAGGGTTGACAGGTAGGCCAAGCTTAGCTGCTCTTGCGAAGCCAGCATTTATGACAGATCGAGTTGGCTCCTGTGCTGTGACCATTCTAGTTTGTTCAGAAAAGGGATGAGAGCAGTATTTAGTCTCCTGATGTTTTTAAAATTAGAGCAGCATTTATTGCCCTTCACTAATGGCTTTCAAAGATGGTGATGAATCTCAAACTATTTTTCCAAACATATTAAGCATTTTTTTAACAAAACAATTTGTATAAGTTTGTAAATCTTGTAACCAAATCACCCTTTTTTCACCGTCCTGGTGAAAATTGCTCAGTTATCTTTTGCAATGTTTGAGTGTGTAGGTTTGAAGGTCACCTCATCAGGGACTAATGCTTATGCTTTGTGATGCTTATAAAATACTTGTGTTTTAGTGGTTTTAAATTTTCTAGATATGATTATTCTGCTTCTGAAGGTCTTTTCTGTATACAAGTTTATTCTGCACTATAATACGTATCTTATGAAATGAATGTGAATAAAATGATTAAATATATTTTCAGTTATCTAATGTTTTGACAGCACTCAAATTGCAATTCTGTTTCCATTGTTTGATCTTTTTTGAAACAACAGTTAAAACTCTTGAAATAAAAGAACAGTGCATAAAATTGCTTGGTAATGCAATGATTCATTTAGCAGTTTGGCACCTTAATAATGGAAGAAGAATGGTGCTTTCTGGCACTCTTTGTCAAACATTTGATTCTGTAAGAAGTAATAACTTCATTGCTAAAACAATGAAATAGAACTTTGCCAGATAATTTAACCATGGATTGGCTCTCTTTTAGATCATTCAATAAAGAGAAGATTTATGACCAAATAAAGGCTGTCTGAAATACAGCAATTGTATAACTAGATTGTATTGCTGCAAAAGAGGTGTTGACAGCATAAAAGAATTGACTTTCAGATGTGAGGTTTTTCTATTTCTTCTGTTAGTGGAGATACATTATAGTCCAGAGAAGCATTCAACCATTCAGTGTTTGTTTAATCTTAGTTTAGTACTACATAAACTCAAGGCGAAGACAGTGGTCAATCTCAATGTTTAATCTTGATCTTATTTTTCAGGTAGAGAGAGGAAGCCCAAAGAGCTGTTTCCTGTTTTTGGGGACTTTGCTATGTGAAGTTAACTGGATTAATGTTCTTTCTGATGCTTGGAATCCCCAGCCTCTCTTGCAGACACGGACAATGATTGTCTATTTGTTATTTATGATGGTTTTTCTATCAAAAGAAGACAAACTTGTACATAAACCAGTAAGTAGTTTTGTCTTCTTTCTTTTTATCATAAAAGCAACAAGTCTATTAATTCTTTGAATAACCTGAACATCACTGTCATTTGTTTGTTGTACTTAATGCAGTTTCTCAAATAAACCATAATTTAGAAAACTTATTCCATATTTGATCCAGAGAACTTTATGTTAAAATCCAGAATTAGAAAGTATAACTTTAAATGTGTACTCGAGATATATCTGTCTGTTTGTGCAACCAAGGTTAACGACAGATTCAAAGACATCTAAGTTACAAGTTGTTTGATACTTTTACTGTTAGACCATCGTATGGCCACAGAGATTTAAAGGGCAGGACGTTACCATGCTTTGCTTGGGCAGAGACAGCAGCAAGGAAGATAGGCAGGTGATGTCAATCTAATGAACCATCTCAAAATGTAAATGATGGGAAAATGGGATTAATATCTAAAATGATATTAATAAATATGTAGCAGATCTGAGGAGTTAGAATATGAAAAGAGGCAATCTGTGATTTCTCGGATTCTGAAATGTCGGTTTATAATCAGCTTTAATAATACAGAAAACGTTGATTGTGACTGTAGTATTTCAAGATATATTTATATTGATAGCTACAAACAATCTGATTTGATGATATTTTTGTCCACCAGTCAAAAGTGAGACTAGCGTAGAAAATTCTTTTTCACTGTCTAATAATGTGTATTATTATATTGGTTCCCTCGATTGGTAGCTAGGATGAGGATTGCCATCTGATGGAAGGGTAAGTAAATTGGCCCTATACTATCAAGAGCCTCAAAGAATGAGGGTCGATCTTTTTGAAACATGAAAGATTCTGAAGGGGTTAGATAAGGTGAACAATGATAGCTTCGTTCCCCTGAGTGGGGAATCTAAAACACAGAGGCACAGTCTCAGGATGAATGACCAATCATTTAGGACTAAGTTGAGAAATTTCTTCACTCAAATAATTGTGAATCTTTGGAATTCTTTACCCAAGAGGATTGCGGGTACTTCATTGTTGAATAGATTTAAGACTGAGATGGATAGATTTTTGGTGTGTATAATGGATGGTGGAGCAAGGTACTCCTATTTCCTAAGTTCTGAAAAGTATTGCTTCTTGAAGAATTGAAATCTTTTCGACCATATGGGAACAATCGCATATATTTGATTCTTAGATGATGTAGAAGAATTTTATTGTTCATTTTGGATGCTTCAAAAATGTTGAATAATTATGTTTATTAAGTTGTATTTATAAGTAAAGTTTTATTAACCCACCATCAATGCTGATCTCTTTAGGAATCCTCGTTACGTAGCCTTCTTGGACAATCAAATGCAATACCTTGGCATTTTGTGGACATAACATCATATCAAAATGTCATCAGCTACTTCAGTAGCCATTACTCACCCTCCATTGTCATTCTAAAAGATCCATCAGCTGAGCTGATACTGAAGCTTTTAAAAGTTGCTGCGGGTTTTTGTGAAACTATGGACATACACAGTGTAAGTAGATATAGAAGTTTAAAAGATTTGTTTGGTCAGGATGTTGTGTTGAGTTTATCTGATTGATTTTCTAATTCATGTCTTCTAGTAAATGATACACCACCATATTTGCCTTTGAACAAAGTTCACAAAAGAAATGCATCTCTGAGCAAATATTCCAAATCAGCTTGTATCTTTATTCAGCATTTTGCATGTGATATTAGACACAACATGCACAACTTCACATAAATGGTGGAAAACAACAAAAAAATTGAGGCTAAGTAATGGGTACTTGCTTTGCCTTGAAATCCTTGCTAATATGGGTTCTGAGAGTGAAGCAGAACTCTGTAGCTGGTGTATGCACAAAAAGAAACACTGTGCAACTGGTTTAACAGTAATCACAAAGATGCAGAGAAAAATCAAATTGTTTATATGCATTAATTATAACTTTCTAGTCATCTGTTTTTGATATATCAGAAATTTCTAAGTTTCACGTTCACATAACAAAACTGTTGTTTCTATGAGGGATTTGATTTTATTTTAATCTCACATTTGCGAATACTATAGTAGCTGATACTATATATATGGTTTCTCCAGGATGCTACACACAAATCTAGGGCATATGTCCACCAAGTCGTCCAGTACCTTGTCACTTTGGATCAGAATGCTCAGATAGCCCATGCTCAACTAAATCGTGAAATGATAACGCTATTGGATGATATTGTAATCTTCAACCCACCAGGTCAGTGCTATCTGAAAACTACTTGGGTCAGAGTTTGTTTATGTCCTTGTAAAGCTTATTTCTGATATTCCTTACATTACATACTGTCTAGCCTTCCATCTTGTTACAACATCTTACGTACATTTGAATATAATAAAATTGAGAAGGAGTAGGACAGCTCCACTATCACAGCACGTCCATGTCAATGGAACAGGAGCAATGTTGAGCTGAGATGCTCAGGCACTGTTTTGAATCAAAATGAGAAGTCACACGACACCAGGTTATAGTCCAACAGGTTTATTTGAAATCACACAAGCTTTCGGATTGCAGCCCCTGCATCAGGTGTAGTGAGACAGCAGAGCACACAGACCTAGAGTTTATACACAGAGAGATCAAGAGATCATATAACTGGTAACAGTGGAATGTCAAATGATAAGTCTCGGCAGGTGACCAGGAGTGTTGAACGGTGAGTAAAGTGTCAATAGCTGAATAACCAGCGAATGGATGACCTATAATCCAATTAAGTGAGGCAGAGAGATAATTACAAAAAATTAAAAATAAGATGGTACTGGAGACAAGCTAAATGACTGGAATCACATGCCGAATTCAAAACTGTATGAACTAATTAAGGTAGAGAGATCATAACAATTTATCAAAGTGATGCTGTCAAAACAGGACAGAAAGGAAGGTTTTACAGATACAGGGCAGTATGGTGAGGTCACCTGTAGCACGACATGAACCCTCTCATAAGAATGGGATATGATGCTCAACTCATCGATCGCCAGTTCTGATGTGCCACAGTGAAAAACCGCAATGAATAATACAGTACCCTGCATTATCCAGTACTTCCGTGGAGCAGAGAAACTACACCATGTTCTTCGCAGCATTCAACACGTCATCGATGACAATAAGCATCTCGCCAAGATCTTCCCTGTGCCTGCACTTCTTGCCTTCAAACAACTGCCAAACCTTAAACAGACCATTGTTCACAGCAAATTACCCAGCCTTCAGGACAACATCAACCACAACACCACATAACCCTGCTATGGCAACCTCTGCAAGACATATCAGATCATCGATGTGGTTATTACTATCACACATGGGAACGCTACCTACCACAGACACGGCAGATACTCATGTGACTCGGCCAGTGTTGTCTATCTCATACACTGCAGGCAAGGATGCCCTGAGGCATGGAATATTGGTGAAACCATGCAGACACTATGGCAACCAATGAATGGACACCATGCAACAATTGCCAGACAGGAATGTTCCCTCTCATTTGGTGAACACTTCAGCAGTCAAGAGCATTCAGCCTCCAATCTTCAGGTAAGACGGACTTCGAGATACACAGCAACATAAAATCACCAAGCAGAGACTGATAGCCAAGTTCCGTACCCATGAAGACTGCCTCACCTGTGATCTTGGGTTCATGTTGCGCTACATGTGACCCCACCACACTTCTGTATCTGTAAAGTCTTCCTTACTCTCCTGTTTTGACAGCATCACCTTGATAAATTGTTATGACCTCTCTGCCTTAATTAGTTTGTACATTTTTAAATTCGGCATGCAATTCCAGTCGTTTAGTTTGTCTCCAGCACCGCCTTATTTTTACTTTTTTTGTAATTATCTCTGTGCTTCACTTAATCGGATTATAGGTCATCCCTTCGCTGGTTATTCAGCTGTTGACACTTTACTCACTGTCTAACACTCTTGGTCACCTGCAGAGACTTATCATCTGACACTCCACTCATACCAGTTGTATGATCTTTTAATCTCTCTGCCTATAAACTCTGGGTCTGTGTAGCCTGCGCTCTCACTGCACCTGACAAAGGGTCTGTGCATGAAAGCTTGTGAGATTTCAGATAAACCTGTTGGATTATAACCTGGTGTTGTGTGACTTCTGACTTTGTCCACCCCAGTCCAACACCAGCACCTCCACATCTTGACTCAAAATGAGGAATGACCAACTGAGGCATTCTGACATGTTGCTGCTTACATCTGTCTTCTGCACAATTTGTCTCTTTTCCTCATGCCCTATATCAGTTTATGAGAAGTTATGAAGTTGCCCAAGATTGACAAAGACAGTGAAGTAAGTTACATGATAATGCAATAAAACCATGTGACATTTTGAGCTCAGTATGACTTTTTTGGCCGAGAAGGGTCATATTGGACACCATGTTAATTCTACCAATTAATTTGCCTGCCATTGATTCATATCGCTTGATATCTTTACAGAACAATAATTCTATAATATTATATGTAATAAATGTATCAATCTTAGTGTTGATGACCAATAGATAGGTAGGAAAGTGAATCGTAAAAGGACATCAAGAGCCTACTAAGAGATATAGATAGGTTAAGAAAGTGGGGCAAAAAACTGGCAAATTGAGTACAGTATGGGAAAGTATGAAATTATCCATTTTGACAGAAAACATAAAAAAGCATATCATCTGAATAGTGAGAGGATGCAGAAGGATCTGGTGTCCTAGTACAAGAACTACAAAAGGTTAGAATGCAGGTACCATATGTAATCAAGAAAGCGAATAGAATGTTCTGTTTTATTGTGAGAGGAAATGAATGCAAGAGTAGGAAGGTTATGCTTCACTTACATAGGCCATTGGAGAAATCGCATCTGGAGTACTGAGTACAGTCTGGTCATCATACTTACAGAAGGATATTAATGCTTTGGAAGCAGTTCAGAAATGTTTACTAGACTAGTACCTGGAATGAGTTGATTGCCCTATAAGGAAAGGCTGGACAGGGAGTTTAGAAGAGTCAGGGTGACGTAATTAAAACGTACAAGGTTCTGTAAGGAGTTGACCGGGCAGATGTGGAAAGGTCATTTCCTCTTGTGGGAGAATCTAGAACTCGGGGTCATAATTTAAAAATAAGAAGCAACCCATTTAAAGCAGAGATAAAGAACTGTTTTTCTCCAAGGAGTCTTTGGAATTTCCTTTCTCAAAAGGCAGTGGATGCAGAACCTTTAAATATTTTTAAGGCAGAAGTAAATAGATTCTTGATTTCCAGGGGGTTATATGCAGAAATGTAAAGCTGAGGTTAAAAATCATATCAGCTATGATCTTATTGAATAGGGAACAGCCTTGATGGGCCAAGTAGCCTACTCTTGTTTCTTTTTCATGCGTTGAAATTTTCAATTGATCCAATACTTAGAAAGTTTTAGAAGGGAGTGTCTCAGATGTTTACATTAGAAATGTACTTTTAAAAGAAATAGCAAATTGCATCTTAAAGTACATTAGTAATTGCTTTCTTGTTACTTAAATACATTGATTTGAAAATACATTTTTCATGGATAGTTTATTTTGAATATTCTTTCCCCAGAAGTGGACAGTCAAATGCGTCACATGGCAATAGCCAGCCTTTTTATGGAAGTGCTGATGATGCTGAATAACACAAGTATAACATCAGCTGAGTCATTGCGAGTGAGTTTGCGGTCATGGATTGAGACTAAGGTGTACTATGATCTTTCACTTCCACTGCTGACTGCAACTTGTCAAAGTCTGGCATCTGTTAAACATATGGCCGAAACAACTGAAGGATGCATCATGGCTTATTTCAAGGAGGGTACGCAATTTGTGTATGTTTGAGGAACTTCAATTTAAATACAATTGGATTTTGCTGAAAAGTTACTCATTATTCCAGCACATCCTAGCCTGCAAACATAACCTTGGGCTTCTTTATTCTACTACAAACTATCTTCTTAAATATCTCTCCCATGTCCCTCCACTCTCATCTCCATCAGTAAGTGGAAGAACTGTAGACTCCTTTGACACCGATAATTAACACGATCCAATCAGCTGTCATTACCCTCCTGTCCACTAACTCAATTGCCAAATTTCTAGAGTGCTCCTTCCTTATCTAAATTCTACACTGGTATCTTTCTCTACTTTTCTCATAGCCCCCTCATGCTTTCTCTGAGTTCATCATCTCCTTGAGATCCACTTCATGTTCTTGATCCTATTTCCACTAAATTGTGGATCGCCCTGCTTACCCCTTGATCTCTTTGGGAGCTGATGATATATCTCTCTCTTCAGGTTATTACTATAGTTGTAAAGATGGACTATCAGATTTCAGTTTCTGTCATCTCATTGTTGTATCTGAGACCTTTCAAGAACTAAAATGGCTATGGTCTAAAAGGCTATGAATCGGATAAATGCCACTACGGTGATATAATCAAACCTCTAAGATCCTGAAAGGACTTGAACGGGTAGATGCAGAAAGGTCATTTCCTCTTGTGGGGGAATCTAGAAATCAAGGTCTTAGTTTAAAAATAAAGAGTCACCTACTTAAAGCAGAAATGAGGAACTATTTTTCTCAAAGGATTGCGAGTCTTTGGAATTTCCATTCTTAAAAGGCAGTAATTGAAGGATCTTTAAATATTTTTAAGGCCGAAGTAGATAGATTCTTGATTTCTGGGAAAATGCAAGATTATTGGGAGTATGCAGAAATATGAGTTGAGGTTAAAATCAGATCAGCCATGATCTTATTAAATAGGGAACAGCCTTGACAGGCCAAGTCGCCTACTCTTGTTTCTTGTTCATGTGTATAAATTTTTAATTGATCCAATATATATGAATTTTTAGAAGGAAATGTTCCAGATGTTCCACTAGGTGGTGCAAAGAGTAGACATGTGCAAAGAAGTGATGCATCTACCAGACACCTTTGTTAAGACAGAGAGTGGAAATCGAATAATTGTTAAAATCAAATGAAGTTCAGAATATGCAGTACTAGGTTATTGTATTAAACTAAAATGATCTCTACTGAGAATGAGCTTGGCTGCAGGACAGGGATCACTTTATTATGGGTTTACTCTTTTAAGACGGTGGCTCTTTGCTTGCACTGGGTAGGCTTTCTCCACATCAACCCCACTGCTAGTAAAGCTTTCCTTATCACGGCCTTGCAATCACTGCAACCCACCACTACCACCTTCTACTTCAGAGTATGGACAAAGGTTTCTATTGCTAAGTCACCTATGCCATCTGTGCAGGCTGAGGCATCTTTGCTGTAACATCTGCACATGCGCAACCTTTGCTAACCATCTTGGCACAGACTTAAAGCTTAAAATTTCTGCTGTAATCACCTGACCACAGATCAAGATACCAATGTGGAATCAACGAAACTACACCAAAATTACCACATCATCTAAAGATTTCAAAACCAGACAAAAAGTCAATATCAAAAAATTTGCATCTCCAGTTTTAATTCCTACTTGTATAATAATTTCATACATTGGGAGATGAAAGGCTTATCTGCGAGTTATCTAACTTTGAAAGACAATGTGGCTAGACTCAGGAATCTGCAAACGCACACTATTCCAACTGCTGTTTTTGAGTAATAGAAAAGTGCATGGATTGATAATAGCGAGACACTTTGTCTCTCTTGCTCCTTACCATCTTAGAAGACAGCATTCAATACATATATGAATTGGGGGACAAAACATTGAATGAGAACTTAAAGATATTTGCAAATGTTGCCACTGCTGAAGATGCCTGGTCTCAGGTTAAAAACCTTAAGATCTAAAGGACTCTAATAAGAACTTATGATTTGCGTGGGTTTTATTCTTTAAGACACACACTACTTTTAAACTCATTACCCATGTTGTTATGTGTGTTTGATATTGCATTTTATAATATTTTCTCAGAATTAGTAGGTAATAATATTTCCCTTTCTTTCACCCAGGAAAACTTTGTAATTGGAACCATCATTTTGATGTAGTTCACCATGTCTTTAATTGGAGAATAAAAGTATTTGTTGTGATCATTAGAAAGAGTGATTAAAAAGAGGGGAGCCAATTTTCCCCTAAAGTTGTGACAGAGTGTTGCCCCACTCATCGTTAAACCTGCTATCACCACCCCTTTCCTCAAAAAGAAAAATCCTTGACCCCACTTTCCAGGCAAACTACCATCCTACCCTTTCATCCCCAAAATCTTCAAACATGTCTCCCAAATCAATGCTTATCTTTCATGGAACTTTATGTTTGAATTCCACCAAACAAGTTATGACCTTTGCCACAATACTAAAGCATCTTCTGTGACTATAACTCATCCTTCTCAACCTTTTTTCAACCTTTGACACAATGTTCCTCCTCTATCTCCTTTACGCTGTTCTCCAACTGAGTAGGACAGCTCTCACTTCTGATCATTGTTAGCGAATCAGTTAAAATTGCTTCTCTTGTCCTACATCATCACCTCTTCTTCCTGCAAGAATCTATTCTTGGCCCCCCTCCTAGTTCTTATTTACCTGCTGCCCATAGTGACATCATCTGAAAGCACAGCATTAGTTTTCATATGCACACTGAAACCCAACTCTACCTCATTACCACCTTTTCTCAAGTCGTCCACTTGCAAAGTTATCAAGCTGTTCTTTATTTTCAGTACTGGATGAACAAAGATTTGAGATACATCTTGTTTTCATTCCCCACTCCAAACTCCATTCCATACTTAAATCTACCCTTCTCCCTAACAGCCTAAAATTTTTGCGTCATGTTCAGCACAACATCATAGGCCAGAGGACCTGTTCCTGTGCTGTATTGTTCTATGTTCTAATTAAGCCAAACTGTTTGCAACTGTAGTGTCACGCTTTCCCTTGACATGAGCTTTCAATGTCATTCAAGGCATTGCTAAGACTACTTATTCCTACCTCTGTAACATCAACCAGCTTCACCTCAAATCAACTTCACTACTGGGTTGCAGTGTTTGCAAGGCCGTGATAAAAAGGTTGAAACTTTTCACTATTGCAACATATTGCTGGCTGGTCTCCAACATTCTTCCTCTATAAAATTGCGATCATTCCAAAATTCTGCTGCCTGTGTCTTAACTTGCACCTGATACAGTTCTCTGTCACCCTTGCACTCACTGACTGCTTGGTCTCTAGTCATATAATATCTTGGCTTTAAAAATGGTCATCTTTCTTTCCAGATCCCTCAATGACCACATGTCGACCTGTCTGTAATTTCGTCCAGCCCCACAACCCACCACGATATCTGCACTGTGTTTCTGGTCTCTGGTCTCTTCTCATCCCCAGTTTTAACCGTTCTGGCATTTTGTAAAAGTATTGTTTATGAAAAGTTGGTGTCATGGGCTAGGCCAGCATTAATTGCTCATGAGAAGATGGTGGTGAGCTGTCGTCTTGAACTGCTACAGTGCTTGAAGTGTAGGTACATCCACAATTCTGTTTAGGAGGTATTTCCAGGATTTTGACCCAATAGCAGTGAACAAAAACAGTGTAATTCCAAGTCAGGAAGGTATATGGCTTGGAGATAAACTCACAGGTGGTGTTCCCATGCATCTGCTACCCTTGACCTCCTATGTGGTGGAGGTATAGTTTTGGTAGTGCCATTAAAGGAGCCTTCATGAGTTGCTGCAGTGCATCTTGTAGATGGTACACACTTCTGCCACTATGCATCAGTGATACAAGGATTAATTGATGAGGATAGTGGATGGCATGTCAATCAAGTGGGCTGCTTTTAATTTTAGGAGGTTTGTAATCACAGTGGCCAATATAGACAGTCAGCAATTTATGGCAATTTTCAGATAGTTTATTGAGAAGATGTTTATTGAGAATATGATACATTAGTTAACTGGTAAAGAAAGCATACAGCCATGACAGGTGGGGATGGTTCACTGTTAACCAGAGGACATACAGGCACTTGGCATGGGATGTGTTCGCCTCATTTAATTGGTGGGAGCAGCACCTGAATGTTAGGGAACTTTTCCCTGTGTCTTCGTCCTCCTCTTCTTCTGGTCTGTCTTCCATCTGTCTGATGAGTACTGCTCTCTCGAGAATGCCAGGTGACAAGGGCTGCCTACAAGTTCTGCTCCATTGGAACTGCTCCCTGCCCCTGAGCACTTACTGTTATAGCATGCTTCTAAGGGCAGGTTATTTTCTCCATGTCAATCAGTTGTCTGAAGCCTTTGGCCAGTGGCCTGGGAATAACTACTCATGATATCAGATGACCATGTCCTTTGCCCACCTCCATTTGAAGGTTAGTTTTCATTCCTTCTAAGAACAAAACTTCCTTATTTTCTAAAACAATACACTGATAATAGGGTAAATTTGGCACCAAATAAACTGTCGATGCTAGTTCAATGCACATCATAACCTCTATATTTCTCATAATTCTTCCCAACTGTTTTGCCATGCTAGAATTTTGGAAAGTTACATATAGCTATAATAGGTATTAAATGACATGTCATGCTCCATAGTAAATGCTAGGAAAATTCAGTTTTAAGGAATCCCAGTATCCAACACTGCATTGTGTTGAGTTTCTTGCATTTTGATGATCTCACCTTCAGTTGCTAGGTCCCCACACTCAGGATACCACCCCTACATTTCTCTGTCATGCTTTCTTACTTTGAGGTACTCCTTAAACCAAGCTTTACTGACTTGGTAGTTCCCTGTGTTGCTTTATTTTTAATGCTGTTTGGAAGCGCCTTGGGTGTTTGTTATGTTAAAGATGCTACACTGGGATACATACATAGCATGAGTAGGCCATTTGACTCCTTGAGCCTGTTCAACCATTTTATAACATCATTGCTAATCTCATTGAGTCCATAATTCTATTGTCCTGTCTACCTGTTATACCCTTTGACTCCCTTGTCAATCTAGAATCTGTCTACCTTTAAAATATTCAGTGAACCTGCTGCTGCTGTTCTCTCGTGAAGAAAGTTCCACAGACTGAAACACTGAGAATAAAAAAAATCTTTAACTCTGTCTTAAATGGGAGTCCACTTTGTGTTTGCACAAATGCTTAATATTTCACATAGAAGTATGTCTTACAAGAGTATAGTTAGCTGCATTTATCTATGACATTGAATCTACAATTCCAGATAAAACTTGGGAAACTGTTAGTTGTTCCCAGTATTTTTATTTAATATATCCCACCTTTTAACTTAAAAATAATGCTACATGACCAACATAATTGTACGCTTGATGATTTGTGACAAATCAGATTTTTATTTTAACTTATTTTTTATTGTTTTAGTAACAAACTTTTTTTATTATCTAGGAGCATGTCTTGATCTGTACTTTGGATGGGGACCAATTTTAGTATCTCTTCAAGTACCAGAACTAACAGCAGAAGAATTTCTCAAAGAGTGCTTGGATTTAGGAAGTTATTTGACACTTTATGTGTACATTCTTCAGCATTTGAACATGGAGCAGACTGTGTCCAATGAAATGAAAATACTGGTTCTGCTTGGTGAATGGATAGAACAAGTCTTTCCTTGGTAATATTGATTTAATTATCAAATTATTTAAGGAAGCTATGCATTTTAAGTAATTCTGAAAGAACTCTCATAGGTTTTTCTGTCATAATAATTAAAATTTCAGACTGATGTAAAGGTGTTTTAATTTGCACAAAACTGCAATTGTGTCAGGAAAAATATATGAAACATCCTTATCAGATTTGCAAGGCAGCCTCTATATTTTTCATCATCCAATTCATTTTAATTGGTTTTGAAACTGCATCATATTATTTTTATGTATTTTGATTGTATTAAATGGAAAAAGACCGATTTTAAAAGAAAGGATTGGGGATGGAATTGCACTTTCACAAACAAATTACTGGAACTCTTGTCCGTTGTGTTTACACTGTTGTTTTGCAAGCTGTTGGGGAGGACAGTTAAAATGGTGCGGCCCCTGGGTGTGTGTGAAGGGTGAGATTTGGCCAGCAACCGGTAAATGATTAGTTTGTGTAATCGGCACCAGTTGTGGATGCCAAATGTCATCAGTCTGATGACAACTCTGGCTGCTGGGCAGCTGAACAGCTTATGGGTGTGAACAATACCGTAGGAGAAGTTTCCAGACTGGTAGAAAAACAAGTTCTGTATCTCTAGCTTCCTGCAGTAAAAGTAACTGAAGCCTGAAGAAAGCCATTTATTTTATCCCACCAGTTGCTGTAAGCTGTTGCCTTTAATCAGTATCTTACAGAGTTCATATTTAGTGTACTAATCACCTTGTGTTGCCCCTAAAGAAGTGAAAGAACCTGGAGAAAAGAGATCAAAGGACTTGAATCCTGTAGGCTGGTGCTATTGAACTGTGCTTACCTAGTTTTTTTTCTCTCCACCCATTACACCCTTTTTTTGTTTCTGTGCCTTTCCGTTTGTGTGATTAGGGGTTTCAACTAGTAGAGTTCTAAGTTGATAAGTTCATGGTTTTCTTTACCTGTGGCTAAACTTATTTATTTGTAATAAATAATAATTTTTGTTAGGGATAAGAACCTGGTCAATGTTCTCTGTTAACGTGATTCCAACAGACACATGAATTTGGGGATTTTGATGCGCTTTGCTTAAATCATTAACTTATGTAGCCTCACCAGGAGTCATAGGCCCGAGAATGACTGCAGTTTCCCAAGTGGATTGTGACAGCCTTTCAATTGACACACTTGTTATTCCCACTGTCAAATAGATAATGGAGTAGACATCGTAGAAAAATGCTAAAAGAAAGATTTTAAAGATATAGCAACTACAGGAAAGAGTAAAATTTGAATGAAATACCAAAGGTGTTGAGACAAGTGCAAGTAAAAGTCTGAGGATGAAATTACGTGCAATTTAAACATCTGTAAGTTGCTTAGAGTTAATACTACAACAATTAGTGTTGTTGACATGATTGCAGCTTCAAATTTATAGGGAAACACACAAAAGGGAATTTGATGACACTTAATTGAAGATGGATTTGTTTTAATACAAAAGAAATTCCATTTCAGACTTTAGAAATTAAGACTACTAATCTGGTAGATATTCAACTGAGATTTTACTTGCTATTGCAAGTTAACATTGTTGTCTTTCTCAAACAGTAACACAAATGATGAGGCTAAGCTCTTCCTGTGGTGGCATAAAATATTGCAATTAGCATTAATCCAGTTTGAGCAGAACGATGTAACTGCATTGGAAATTTTGATCAGGATATTAAGTACATTACAAACAAAGCAAAGTCATCTGGCAGAGGAGAAATTCTCTTCTGGACTTCTGGGAGCTATTGGTCTTGGAAGAAAGTCTCCCCTCTCAAACAGGTGGGCATTTTGTGTGAAGTTTAAATTAATTTTTTGCATTGTAATTTTTGCCTCTTTGTCACTGAAAAGCAAATGTATAAATCAATTATTTTAGACTTGGAAAGATCACAGCATCATTCATAACTGCACATTCAAAAGTATATTCTTTACTATTCAGTTCTTATATTTTATCAAGCTGCGTTCACTACTAGAAATGTTATTAAAATACACATTCTGCAAAACTACGCTAAATGATCTCATTTCTAATAAACAGCACAATAAATACTAACAACTTTTAAAATAGTTCACTAAGAAGCAGTAGCATATGTTATAAACTTAATTGCTTTAGTGTGCTTTTTAAGCCTGTTTTCCTAAATAAGGTTTTCAAAATTGTCTATTTGATATTCCAGGGTTATGACAGCTATGAAATATTTTGCAAGTTACAATCCTAATCAACAGTTGTTTTCTTGTATGTCACATTTCAATTTGACAGACGAAGTTCAAATGAGTTATAAACCATTCTGTCAACATTTATAGTTTGATATAAGTCACTTCCACACATGGTATTTCCAGCATTTCATGTTTCAATCCCACACTTGTCTCTTTTCTAAACTTAATAGGGGTGGCTGACATTCCCCAGTCCATAGAGAGTTAAAATAGGAACATTTGAAATGATTGTTTGGTTGGTAGGGGTTACAAACATATATACAATGCAGGAAATATTCAGCAGAAGAGCTGAAAAGACATAGATACATCAGTCTACAAATAAAAACTCATTTCTCTTGTGAGAAGCTCCCTGACTTACTTAGTGGTTGTGTTTTATTCAAGATATCCAGCATCTGCAATAGTTTGCTTTAAATCACTTTATATTTGACTTTATTTACACATCTGTATTAGGGCGGCACAGTGGCTCAGTGGTTAGCACTGCTGCCTTGCAGCGCCAGGGTCACGAGTTCAATTCCAGCCTTGGGCGACAGTCAGTGTGGAGTTTGCAATTCTCCCTGTGTCTGCATGGGTTTCCTCCGTGTGCTCTGGTTTCCTTCCACAGTCCAAAGATGTACAGGTTTGGTGGATTGTCCATGCTAAATTGCCCATAGTGTCCAGGGATGTGTAAATTAGGTGAATTAGCCATGGGAAATTCAGTGTTACAGGGATAGGGTTGGGTTGAAGGGTGGGGGGAGTGTGTCAGTATGGACTTGTTGGGCTGAATGGCCTGTTTCTACACTCTAGCAATTCTATGATTCTATTCTTGAAATATGAAGTTTGAGGCCTTTCCAATTAAATAGTTGTTGGATAGCACAGAATTTAAACATTGCTGAAGAGATACTAATTCAAAGCATTTGGTCTTGCATTCATCAAGACTGATACTCAATATGGAAGTGAAACACCAATTTATACAGCATGAAAAGAAAGTGCTAATTGGTTGGCATGGAGTAGAGGAGGAAATGTTAATAATCAATCTTAGTTGAAAATCCTCAGACTTGACAGGTAGACTCTAATTAGTCAGGGTGTTTCTAGAGCGTGAGTGGCTAGGATTGACCATCTCCATGACTCGTTCCTCAATGAAAAAGGTGCAATCTATGGCAAACTCTTTTGCCTACTTAGAAACAGGTCCCCTATGTTAATCTGCAGTTTCTAAATCCAATGCATCATACTGCGCACCTAACTGATCATGCTGAATTAGTTTCCGGTGTGAATCTTCACAGTCAGGACTATTGAGTAAGTATCATTCCAGTAGCAAAATCACATCTAATATTGAACATTATATTCTGAGGTTTACAAACATAGGCTATTTGAGCATTATCCTGTGCAAGCAGTCACAGGGACAAAGGCTTCAATTTCATGCCAAATTTAGTTCAATCCTTGTTTTATGCAGGTTGATTTTAAGACTTCTGATTGTTTGTTTTTACAGGTTTCGAGTGGTGGCACGAAGCATGTCAGCTTTCCTAGTGGTACAGCTTCCTGCAGAAAACCGCATTCGACTAAAGCCTAGCTCAGAACTGCAGCTATCTCCAAAAGCACAGCAGGTATTGAGAACCTGGACAATGAATTCACTACTGCATTTTTAATTTCATAAATAGCTACGGCTAAGGAAGGCAGTTCACCCCATCAGAATTCTCCTATTGAGAAGCGGTTTACAGTGTCATCCAGCCCAATAATGTAGCATTCAATTAGTGAATGCTTTTCATCTATAATAATATGGAGTCAGCTCCATATGTTGATACCTGATTGTTATACCTGAGACTTGCATAGATTAAAATAGTTTTGAAAAAGGAACAAACATGGTCCTAAAATGTTTGCAAAGGTCATCTGATCACAGTGAGGCAAGCTTTGTGAGGCCCATGCTGAATAAATTAAACTGTCTGCACTGAAATTTCCATTTTTTTCTAAAGACATCAAAATCAGGCAACTAAGTTAGCATCAAGAAATTCACATAAGACCATAAGACATAGGAGCAGAAGTTAGGCCATTCGGCCCATCGAGTCTGCTGCACCATTCAATCATGGCGGATAAGTTCCTCAACCCCATTCTCCCGCTTTCTCCCCATAACCCTTGATAATCAAGAACCTATCTATCGCAATCTTAAATGTACTCAATGACCTGGCCTCCACAGCCTTCTGTGGCAGTGAATTCCATAGATTTACCACTCTCTGGCTGAAGAAGTTTTTCCTTATCTCCGTCTAAAAGGTTTTCCTTTTACTGTAAGGCTGTGCCCTCTGGTCCTAGTCTCTCCTACTAATGCCAACATCCACTTTGTCCAAGCCATTCAGTATTCTGTAAGTTTCAATTAGATTCCCCCCTCATCCTTCTAAACTCCAATGATTATAGTCCCAGAGTCCTCAAATTTTCCTCATAAGTTAAGCTTTCCATTCCTGGGACCATTCTCGTGAACCTCCTCTGAACCTGCTCCAGGGCCAGTACATCCTTCCTGAGATATGGGGCCCAAAACTGCACACAATACTCCAAATGTGGTCTGACCAGAGCCTTATAAAGCCTCAGGAGGACATCCCTGCTTTTATATTTAAGTCCTCTCAAAATAAATGCCAACATTGCATTTACCTTCCTGACTACTGACTCAACCTGCAAGTTTACCTTGAGAGAATCCTGGACTAGAACTCCCAAGTCTCTTTGCACTTCAGACTTCTGAATTTTCTCCCCATTTAGAAAATAGTCCATGCTTTTATTCTTCTTACCAAAGTGCATGACCTCACACTTTCCCATGTTGTACTCCATCTGCCACTTTGCCCACTCTGCTAACCTGTCCAAATCCTTCTGCAACCTCGCCACCTCCTCCAATACTACCTGTCCCTCCACCTATCTTTGTATTGTCTGCAAACTTAGCCAGAATGCCCACAGTTCCTTCATCTAGATCATTAATGTATAAAGTGAAAAGTTGTGGCCCCAACACTGACCCTTGCAGAACACCACTTGTCACCGGCTGCCATCCTGAGAAAGACCCCTTTATCTCCACTCTCTGCTTTCTGCCAGACAGCCAATCTTCTATCCATGCTAGCACCTTGCCTCTAACACTATGGGCCCTTATGTTACTCAGCAGCCTCCTGAGCGGCACCTTGTCAAAGGCCTTCTTGAAGTCCAGGTAGATAACATCCATTAGCTCTCCTTGGTCTACCTCACATTCCGGAAGTTAAAAGACTTACCTGCTAGTTAGGCCGCTCGGGACAAAATGGAGCCACTTTCCAAGGAAATACAGTGACTTGGATTTCTGTGGTTGCTTTTGAACAGCATGTAAAGAGAAGAACATTGTTTCATAACAGGAGAACTTAGGAGTTTCACGCTCTCCCTCTCTCTCTCCCTCGTGCGTGCTTCCCCCCTCCCTTCCTTGTGCACGCTTCGCCCCCCCCCCGCCTTCCCCCTCTCTCCCTCTCTCTCTCCCCCCTCCTCCCCCTCCCCTCCCCTTCATTTTTCCCTGTCTGTACCAAATATTCTCTGTTTTAAACTTATAATTTGCGTATGCATTCCTTAGAACTTTTCTCAGGGCTAGTAGGTTATAAAATTTCTTTTCACTCAAGGAAACCTTTGTGGTTGGATCTTTCATTTCCAGAGAACTGTTTTAATTTAAGTGTGACAGCTGCTTGCTTAAAAATAAATTATAAGTACTGGTTATGACTGGGGAGTTTAAAAGAGGCGAGTCACACATATGTCCAACCTTCTTTCCCACATCTAACTATGACACCTTTCTTTGTTGTATTATTGTATCAATCTCAGACCACTCGAACAGTTTATCTTAAGGCAGTTTGATGATATTAATTCATGTAGAATTTCAGTACCTTCGTCACTTTCATGTTCAGTAGCAGCAGAAAATAAATAAATTAGGGAGAGATAGTGGCACAGTAGAAATGTCACTTGACTAGAATCCATAAACCAAGGGTTATGTTCTGGGGACACAAAAACAGAAATTGCTGGGAAAGCTCAGCAGATCTGGCAGCATCCGTGGAGAGAAATCAGAGTTATGTTCTGGGGACATGAGTTTGAATCTCACCATGACAAATGGTGAAATTTGAATTCAATAAAATTCTCAAGTAAAAACCTAGCTTAATGCTAACCATGTAACTACTGTAGATTTTCCTTGAGGGAAGGACGTATACCATCCTTACTAGGTCTGTTGACTGGACAATTGAGGATGGACAGTAAATGTTGGCCTGGCCAGCAATGCCAACCTTCCATGAACAAATAAAACTAACTAGTAGCCTGCTTGCAGTTACTGTATCTGCACAGTATATAACCAGTAAGCATGAAACCCAGGATATGTCTGAGATATTATTGCAGGGTACATAATAATGCTAATAAACCTCTTCAGAACTGAGTCACTGGACTCAAACATTAACTGTTTTCTCTCGACAGATGCTGCCAGACATGCTGCATTTCTCTAGCAATATCTCTTTGCACTTTGTAGAAAGGACCCTTTCACATCTTAATTTAACCCATTTTACATCGCTCTTTTTCTTTCTCCACCATTAACAACCCATTAACAATTAACATTCACCTAATTAACGCATTAATTGTGCCTCTGCACGCCACAAGTCACTGGTTGCCACTTGAAAATGGTTTGTTTATTCCTGCTCTTTGTTTCTATCTGCCATCCAGTTCTCAGTCCATGTCTGTATATTACCCTATCCCATGTACTTCAATTTTAATATGCTAATCTCTTATGTGGGACTTCATCAAAAGCGTTCTGAAACTCTAGGTAAACCACATCGACTGGCTCCCTCTCAACAAGTCTACTTGTTACATCCCCTCAAAATTTCAGTAGATTTGTCAAAATTGATTTCCCTTTCATAAATCCTTGCCAATTCTGTCCAAACTTGTCACTGTTTTCAAGTGCTGTTAAAGCTTTTATAACGGACTGTAGCATTTTCCCTACAACTAACATCAGGCTAACTGATCTATAATTCCCTGTTTGTTCTCTCTATCTACATTTTAAAATAGGGGGGTTACATCAACTGTTCTAGAGTCTATAGAATACTGAAAGATGACACCAATGCATCCACTATTTCTCGATTTCCTTAAATAATCTAGGATGTAGATTATTGGGCCCTGGGGATTTACTGGCCTTTAATCCTATCAATTTTTCAACACCATGCCCCTACTAATACTGATTTCCTTCATTTCCTCCTTCTCACTAGACCCTGTGTTCCCCAACATTTTTGGGATGTATTATTCCAGCCATAGTAGTCCCATTAATATATGCTAGCAGAAAGTTTCATTGTATTCCAGACTTACTGTATCAACCATTGAAGATACTGTGTAACAAGCCTTGGTGAATTTCTGCGGTACATCTTGTAGAAGCTACATCAAGCTGTTATTGAGCATTGTGGTGGATTGGATTTTTGTGGATGTTGTGCCTACCAATTGAGCTGTTTTGTTCTGAATACTATCAAGCTTTACCATGAGACCCACTCATCCAAGTGCTGAAAAATGGGATTAGGATAGTTAGGTGATTGTTTTGGACCGACATGGACGTGATGGGCCTCTTTCTGTATTGTAAATCCCTAAGCCTTTATGATTAATCCAGACAAGTGGGGAATATTCCGTCACATCCTGCCTTGCAGACAGGCTTTTGGGGAGTCAGCTGGTGAGTAACGTGCTGCAGGATTCCTAACCTCAGGATGAGCCAGTGAATATACTTTAGGTTAAAAAGATGAACTCTTGATTGCATTACATGGGAAAAAATGCCTTCAATGGTTGATACAGTAAATCTGGAATACAATGAAACTTCTTGCTTGCATAAATTAATCTCCATTACCATCTATTAAGGATAGTACATACATGAGAACCCCACCTGCTGCAAGTTTCTATCCAAGCACTCACTATTTTGACATGGAAATATTATCACTGTTACTGCACTATTATGTGGTAACATCCTGGAATTCCCTTCATAACAGCACTGTGGCTTGACCTACGTGACATGGACTGCAGCAGTTCCAGAAGTTCACCAGCATCTTCTCAAGGGCAACTACCAATGGACAACAAATGCTCACTCATCCAGGGAAGTCCATATCCCCTGAACGAATAAGAAAATCCTAAAATCACTGCTATCCATTTTCACTATGCTTATATTATAACTATGTAGTCAGCAATATTTCCCAATTGTGAAAGACGTTATTCTGTACTTCACAGAATTATTTTTCTTTTTCTTTCTTTATTTCAGGCCCTGAATGGACTCGAATCAATATCATTGAGCAAGCAGTATGCAGATTACCAAGAAGAAATTTCACAGGCTATATTATTTATCAAGAACCCGAACCATTGTCTTTTAGATGGCAACAAACTATTAGCTATTCTTCTTAGTTTCCTTTACCCTGACACACATTACCTAGATATTATTCGCTAAATGTTTTGCAACAGCAGGAAGTCCAATGTTTTCGTGAAGACAAATTGAGAGACAGTATCTCCACTGAAAGAATTCTAACTATATAACTACATCAGTAGATTAGTTCAGGTTGTTAGCTTACTTAGAAATTCTTTAGAAATAAACGATCATTATTAAACGATATCAGCCTATTACTTGCTAATCCACAATTCTGCATTTATGTACTAAAATCTTATGTACTGATATGTAATATCAGTGAGTTTCAAAAGTTTCTATTATTGATAAAGCATATTCTTCATCCTAAATCCTCTGTTATGCATTAAATATTGCATCTTGCATCCCGTGAATGAAGAAAAACAAATTAACTGGTGCATGTGAGGATATGAGCAACAGACGTTCGGGTGAAGTTTAGTTAAGATCGAAATTACAAGGCCAAACAGATGTGTTAATTAGTTGAATTTAAAAGTAATCAATCACCACTTGAATCCATTCTTAAAAGACAGATCATGTGAACATTTACCTGCTAATTCTGCTTGTGCATTCCACAACCTTGCAACCCTTGGTATAAAGAAACAAAACTCTTGTTCTCCATCTTTGATTTCTTTCAATTAGTCTTAAACTTTGTTTTAGACCCAAGAATCACAGGAAACAGTTTTTATGTATTCTGTTCCATCCTTTTATAATTTTAAATGCCTCTATCAAATATCCAGTAATTTGTTGAAGTTATATTTGAAGGAAGGTTGTTCTTCTGAATGGAACAAACCACTTAAATTTTGTTCAACATATCTTCATAATTCAGCACAAAAATTGTGAAAAACCTATGTATACTGGATTTGCAGTAGGAGTAGCCAGTTTGGCCTCTACTCTGTCTTACCCCACATACTCTTTGATTCTATTGTCAGCTAAGAATGTGGAATCTTGCTGCAGTTAGCAGTTCTAGTTTAGCTGGTGACCTGTTCCTGCCACATTGTTTCTTCACCACAGGTGTATTGGAATCTGAAGTGATGAAAGAGATAAACGGAACAATTTTTATTCTCAATTATCACAAGCAGTTATTTCAGTTACGTGAAATGGAATTCTGTGGCTAATTATCATTAATGTTGAAATTATCTATGGAAATGCAATGATTAATTGATATGTTCACTTGGAATTCAGATCTCTATTTTAAGAAATTTGAAACAATTTATGTTTTTTAAATGGGCTTCTTTAAAGTAGCACTTTGAAATCAGAAAGTAGCAACAGCCTTTATGTGAGTGCCTTTATCTTTTCACATGTAAGCACATGATGCAAATGAATTATGATGTACGCTTTAATTTTCGTAAATATTTTATGACATGCAACTGATGCTGTCAAGGTTATTTAACAAAATAAGTTGTGACATTATTGGTGCCATAAAATGTGGAAATTCAATATATAGAATATTATACTAATAAAGTTGAAGACTTTCATTGTTACAGAATGAATGTGCATTGGCAAACAGTGGACTTCCATGCATATTCAGCTGGGAAAATGATCTGATTTTAGTCAAACCATACCTTTTTGTTTAAATGACATTCAAGTTAATTGATGAGTTGTTAATGATAGTGAATCTTGGATGCTATTAATGGTGGAACAAGAAACAGTAAACTCATAATTACAGTCAAGATCTAATTTAGGAAATGAGTTTAACAACTGTTACATGAACCAGATATTAATGCGTACAGAAACTACAACATTCCTCAATGAATGCAGGAAAGTATTTTATGTCACAAACCTATGTTTTAAAATATCTAATTATAGCTGAATATTTTTTTCTCTGTTTAAAAAGCAGAACATTTAAGTGATTTAATCTGTATGGTTCAAGTTATTGAAAGCAGATCTTGGGTGCTGCTATTAGTGATGTAATGCTGTGCACTTTACAGAACTGAATAAAATTAAGTTCAAATGAAATCAGTGGTATCTTCCACAATGTGAAGAATTTCTTGCACTCTTTCTTTAGACATTCAACTTCAAAGTTTTATTTACATTGGAATTAATTTGCTGGAAGCTACTGCTAGGCTGATGTTTGAAGTGTCAAATAAGATTCAGTTAATACTTGAAATATGCAACATAATGCCTCTAAACTGGCTCCCCCTGTAAAAACAAGTTTTTTATGAAATTGGAAGTAAATATGTATTTGACATTCAATAGCTGTACATTGACAATAATATGTTTATTGAGTGCAGTTTTATTTTTGAGCAGTGTTGTATATAAGCTGCATTGTGGTCTTTTACTCCTTTGTGTCCTTAAACTTTGAATCTTGATTGTTAATGTACAATACGAAGATACAGAAAAAATAAACTTGTTTCCTTTCTAAATATTTCGATGTGTTTCTCTTATTCATTATGATTCAAAGTGCATTTCTGAAGTGTAAATGATTTCATTTAGTTTGGTAGAATTTAAGGTATTTTCACTCAAAATGCGAACTTTGCTTCTTTCTCTATAGATGCTACCAAACCTACTGAGTTTTTCCAGCACTTTGTGATTATACTTTTATGTAAAATATGTACTGACAGTGATTCAGTACTTTCTACATGATAGTCATCACTTAGTTATAATATAGAATTGTAAGCTTGTATTTACTCACAACTTGTTTGTGTCAGTCTGGCCAAAGTCTCTGTTGCCGTAGGCCTCTTCAGCATTAGGACCATCTACCCAGAACAGAGCTACCCAAAGTGCGGGTCAGAATACCAAGTGGGTTCCTGAGCTCTAGGGCAGCAATGGCCGCCATGGGGTTTCAAATAGCTTATAATAGCCGTGGTCCTGCTCTTATGGGCCTCACTCTCTCACTACCCCACTCTCACTTCTTACTGAGGGATCCCAACAATTTTCAAACCTCAATATGGGATCAAGGTGGGAAACAGTTTGGAAAGTACAACTCACCAAAGTTCTGGTATCATTCTGAATTCTCAGAACTAAAAACAAATAAAATTGTTTTGTTGTTGCACAGAGTGGGGACCTTACAGAAGTCCTGGAGTCATGTTTGGGACCCTGGATGATGAAGATGAATTCTAAAGTACTTTCTTTTATTCTTTTCTAACTTAAAATGACACCGATTGTGGCAACAGGACATTTTTCACTGTATCACCCCAGGTATGTGTGACAATAAATCGTTCATTCAGAAAATCCCCTGTATCTGTGAGTTCATGACTTGCAAATTCGTCTATCTGCGCCAAAAAGTAATTAGCAACAAAATTCAACATCCGCAGCCAGACTGTCATAGCTGCGATTTTTAACCTGTATTTTAACTGTCAAATTTCATAATTAGTGGATGGTCTCAGAAACGGAACCATTGTGCATACAGAGGAATGGCTGTACATACATGTAGCATTGGCTCATTCCCTCAATAAACTATGCCTGTTTCATATCAATAATCTTACACCTGTTTTTAGAATTTTGTTGAACTTGCCTTTCCTGTGGGAAAGGTGAAGCTAGGTATTCTCTAACTCGTCATGTGCCATCTTGAGATTGATTAACAAATAACTGTGCATTAATAATCTTGTCTACCACCTGTTTTCTCTTTGCCACATATTCTATTACGATTAGTGTATAACAAATATTGTTGATTAGCTCAAAATAGAGTTAACAACCTAGAATTGAGGAAGCAGGGAACTTGTGAATGAAAAGCATGAAAATGCCAACAAGTACTAAGAATGATGAAAGGCTCCATTTCAAAATCTTCAAAGAGCTCCTCAAAAGTTTAAACCAATTAAATTACTTTCAAAGAAAGCACATGCAGATGAACTTAAGCAATCAATGATATGGCTATTACAGTCTGCCAGCTCTGCCATTCAGTATGATAACCTTTACAAGTTTCAAAATCTCCCCTCCCCCCACCGCATCCCAAAACCAGTCCAACTCGTCCCTGCCTCCCTAACCTGTTCTTCCTCCCACCTATCCCCTCCTCCCACCTCAAGCCGCACCTCCATCTCCTACCGACCAACCTCATCCCGCCCCCTTGACCTGTCCGTCCTCCCTGGACTGACCTATCCCCTTCCTAACTCCCTATCTACACTCACCTTTCCTGGCCCCATCCCCACCTCTTCGACCTGTTTGTTTCCTCTCCACCTATCCTCTCCTCTATCCCTCTTCTATCCGCCTCCCACTCTCTCCCTATTTATTTCAAAACCCCCTTTTCTGATGAAGGGTCTAGGCCCGAAACGTCAGCCTCTCTGCTCCTATGATGCTGCTTGGCCTGCTGTGTTCATCCAGCCCTGCACCTTGTTGTCTCTGATAACCTTTAAAACTAGTTATCTTCAGTGTGCCTTCTAAGTGGCTAAAATTTCAAAACTTGCAGATTTCACAATAATAGCTACATTTAACTTTGGAATTGACCTTGGTATTCATGACTATCTTTATTACCTTTTTACTCTAAGTCACTGCCAAATCTTGCCTCACAGCTGGACAGCTGTGCTTATGTTCACTGAAAGCAAGTCCTACAATTTGAATGGGTACAGTGTGTTCACTTGATGTATGACGAGCATTAAGACAGCCCAATTCATGCAATGCTGCCTGAGTTTCTACCTGTGTTTTTTGTTTTCAATTTTCAAATACAGTGACGTTTCAAAAGATTTATTTGTTCAGGTAAAATTTACAGGCTGAGAAAGTGCAAGAAAAATGTCCCTTCCAAAAATAACTACACCTTATTTTTATGTCAAGTTTTAAACCTGTAAACTTCAGAAGTGTTCTGGGCTTAAAGTCTATTCTTGTAATTTTCCAAATTGGCCAGACATTTTTGTAGAAGATTTAATTAGAAGGCTCATAAAGTGAGCTGATATTGTAAAATATGAGGTTGGGAAGTTTTTTGTATTACAGCAGTGGAGGATGAAGAATCTTAAGAATAGAATACAAATGTGAAAACCTTACTAATGAAATAAAATTGATCAAGATGAGTTAGCATCTGCATTTGGGTTTTCAGAAGTTTTCTGTAAGGACCTGTACAGGAGGTTGGGATAGCAAAATTAAAGAACTTGGTATGAGAGGTACTGTACTGACAAGCATTAGGATTTGCTAACAGACACAAAGTCGGCTGAGTATGAATGGATTATTCTTATCTTTGCAGACTGTGATTAATGCAGTGCCTCAACAATCAATGCTTGGGCCCAAGCTGCTCACAATACATATCAATTGTTTGGATGTCTGACCAAATACAATATTTTCAAAATTGCAGATCACACAAAGCTAAGCAAGAGTATGTGTTGTCAGGAAAATGTGGAAATGAATTCAAGAGGATTTGGCCAGGCTTACTGAGTGTGGGAGAAAATATGGCAGATGGAATACCATGTAGAAAAATATGAGGTTATCCACTTCGGTAGGAAGAAAAGATATGCAAAGTATTTGAACACCGATAAGACATTGAAAAGTGTAGATGTGCTATAGAGTCTGTATGCTCTTGACAATAATTGACTGAAGGTTAACATGCCAGTCCAGCAAGCAATTCAGAAGGTTAATGGAATGTTAGCTTTTATCAAAAGAGAATTTGAGTACAGGAGTAATGAAGTTTTTATTCAATTGTGTAGGAGCTTGGTCAGACTGCACTTAAGTAAGGTGTGCAGGTTTGGTTTCCTTATCTCAGGAGGAGGTGCAACAGTAGTTCGCCAGAACGTGTTCCTGGGATGGTAGGACTGTTGTATTCTGTAGAGTTTCAAAAAATGAGAGGTGATCTCATTGAAACTTAAAGGTCTAGTCTGTGTACATGCAGGGGAGGTACTTCCCCATTGGAGAATATAGAACCAAGGGCCTTGGTTTAAAAATAGGGATGCCTTTTAGATCTGAGATGAGTTATTTTCATTTTAGAATTCTCTACTCCAGGGGCTGTGGAAGCTCAATCTTTGAGCTTATTTAAAGGAGAGATTGATCATCAAAATTTATCAATGGCATAAAGGATTGTGGGTAAAAGGCATTGAAGCCATGATTATATTAAATGGTGGAGCAAGCTTCTCCTATTTCTAAATTCCAGAACAAATTAAGTTTGCACGGATCATTTAATACTTATAAACTAATGCTGCTAATTGCATCTCCCCATTGTTGTTAGGTTTGTGCCTTCCTTCTGCATTGCTGACAGAAAGCTGATTTATCAGTGAACCAATCGCCATAGAACAGCCCCTTAAATAAATCACAGATACCTCAATCTGACACTGCAAAGAAGCCATTCATGCTGCCAAATCCCTAGACCTCACACCAATTCTTAAACATGTTACTAAGTGTCAAACAGGGTTGGTTTTGTATATGTCAAAATGGATTTCTCGAAGATTAAAACAGTACTTTTAAAGTAAAATTTACTTTCAGTTGTAGGGATCCTTATTTTCTTTCTGCAGTAAATTGAGCCTTCAGCAATTTCTTAAATATGTATCAGGCAGAATAATACCAAAAAAAAGACATGGCTAACTCTTCAATCTGCTAAACTTGGCAATATCAACATTAGGGAATAGAAACAGGACAAAGATAGTGGTCAGATTTCATTAAATTTTCTTTCAGCTGGGATTACAACTTGTTTCTCCAACATAATTCTCAAAACCTTTCTTTAATCAGAAAAGCATATACATGTCAGCTACATGAATTCCATTTTATCCGCTGGAAAGATAAATATATTGAGGTTATTTTTTGACCTTTCAGCATTGTGAACAGGAATGTATGCCATGTGTCTTGGTCATCACACCAGTGATTCAAACTACTTCCAAGTATTTTTCAGATCACTGTTTACAGTAATTTAAGGGGGAGGTGACAGCCTAGTGGTATTCTCAATAGACTGTTAATCCAGAGACCCAGGTAATGTTCTAGGGAGCTGGATTCAAATCTTGCCATGGCAGGTGGTGGAATTTGAATTCAATAAAAATTTGGAATTAAGAGACTATTGATGACCATGGATCGACTGCTGATTCTTGGGAAAAACCCATCTGGTTCACTAATATCCTTTAAGGAAGGAAACTGCCATCCTTACCCAGTCTAAACTATATGTTAATCTAGACACAGAGCAATGTGGTTGACTCTTTACTGACCTAGGGGCAATTAGGGATGGGCAATAAATAATGATCTAGCCAGTGACACCCTCATCCCATAAATGAATAAATGAAAGTAATCTAGGTCAGAGAGGGCAACAATAAGTTATTCCCAAAAAAAATTCTATATACCTGGAAGATTGCAGACTCTTCTAAGAAAGAGATATAATTTGCTACGAGAGCAGTAGATAAACTGATGTTTGAAACCATGAAACTATAACTGACCCTATAGAATCTGCACAAACACTGCTATCTTCTTCTTTCAGCTTCTCCCATTTTGTTTGGGATCACTGCGATACTGTTTGGACACCTTTCTTGGA